AATTTGGAGAGACTGACATTGCGGAAAGTCCCAAAAAGACAAACAACGACCGGTGGAAAAACTCCCAATAGTGGTTTCTGGACATGGCACGCCCGGATGACGGGTTAACCATATCCACCACCAGGAATTACAGTCGGCGCAGATTGATTGAATGATGGAAAGGTGTGGAGGGAGACAACAACTTGAAAGCATTTGTGTCGGTGCTGCGTGGTGAAGGCTGCGGAAAAGTTGTGTAGGAAGGAGCGTGTTCCGCTTTGGGAGAACCAACAATGTTGGAGAGGAACTTCAACGAAGGCAATGACCCGGTGGAGGAGAGGGGGAAATAGAGAAAAAAATAAGAAAAAAAGGATGCAGAGCGCAATTGATGAGGGGGAAGTGTCGCGTGACTGAAGTTGGTGCGAATGGTCAATCTCATCTGATCCAAGCAGTTGAAGAGAAGAAAAGGGCCCCGACGGACGAGGTCGGCGCGTCTCATAGGTATGCGGAGTGCATCCGGACTGCGACTCTCCTGAGGGCGAATGCATCCATCGACTGAGAGTTGGAGACACGAAGCACTCCTGCTAGTAGAATTGCTTGCAAGAGCGGGAATTCTTGGTCGCATGAGAGGACATTCAATTCCCCCCAATATGGATGCCGAGCAAAGGAGAGAAGATGGGGGAAGAAGGATTAAAAGAGAGCGGAAAAGAGCAAGACTGGGAACGCCTGTGGAAAAATTGGCAGAGAGGAAGAGCCGAGAATAAAGAAGAGAAAATGCGTCACAACTAAACGCGCACATGTCAAAAAGCTGGGCATCTTGGATGGATGTATTTTTGCTCAGTTTGGATTGCAAAGGCAAAAAGATGGTTGATGTTGACATAAGGGAAAAAAATAAAATACAAGGCAAGAACAAGGAAGAACAGAAAACAATGGCGTGCTTAAAAGTTGATGCGATAAGGAGGCTCGTGGTTTCTATTCTCAATCGAGGTAGGTCTGGTTAACCACGGATGATGACCATCACCACGAACACTCGCCAGGACTCGGGAGAATACAGAGAAATGAGACACAGGATGGGAGAAGGGATTGATTGATTGAACTGGGGAAAGACGCACGTTTTCGAAGGACCGAAACAATAAAATGAAAAGCAAGAAAGGAAAAAAAGGTCAGATATGGGAATGATGTGTCAGGAAGGGAACTTGAAAATCCGAGGTGGGGAAAATGGAAACAAAAAGACGACAAAGAAGGAGCAAAAGAAAGTGGACGGAACCCGGCGAGGAAAAGGAAGGGATTTGGTTCTTATTACAAACGCCAGCGGCAGCTGAACCACAAACCTCCATGCCCTGGGCTTGCCTGCCAAGGTTCAGGTTGTCTGTTCTTGCTTTCAACAGGTAGGTAGGTAGGTATGAGGTGTTCTTGCTTTCAGTGGGCGCTCAGTGGGCGCAACAACATGATATGCAAGTGCAAGCCCGGTACCATGATCACATGCCAGAACTGCCAATTTCAGAACAACATTATTTCGTAGCAGCAACTCATTCAATGAGTGTGCAAATCGGTTGGTTGAGACTGGATTCTTTAGGCAAGGTGGTGGTTGATTAGAAGAAGAAACTAACAAAGGGAAACCCCAAGAACCCAGATTAGAGAGCCCTCAGTGCTAACCGCACATTGCACCTTCCCAAGTGATGCCCAAAGATGACGTTCAACTACAGGCAAGTAAGTGGATCATAACAAAGGGGCAATTGCAATTATTGCAAAGGGACATGCATGGGTGAGCGAAGGGCGTGGAATGATCACAACGATGACTAACGAGAATGATAAGACATGGGAATTTGTTTTGCAAGACAACGCTGTAAATCGATGAGCATGCCTTCCTCTTAGCCATTGATTCTTCCTTAGTGTTCCGACCTATGGTTGACAAGTTAGAATCTTGTCTTGTAACTCTCGTCCATATCAGGTTAAGCTATTCTACCCTAACTTGCAGCTTCTTATGCTCGCTTCTGCTGTCGGGCTCAGCTAAAAGCTCTCAAGAAAACCCAAATGACTTTCCACTCCGTTCCTTTCCTTTTGCCTAACCGCACGAACCGCGCCAGAACCCCCCAGGGTCACTCCCTTGACTGATCCTCTTCTCCGTTCCTTTCCTTTCCTTTCTATTCCTCTCAAAGTACTGGCCTCAGACACTGTTGTTTATATCAATCCGTCAATCATCTCCATATTGCTGCCTCCCCCAGAACCCTTCCAGTCCTCGAATGTGACTAAGCCCGGACAATACCTGCAGCGCCCTCCCGGCGCCCCCGCGATACCGGGATCTGAATCTCCCCTTCCGAATCAGAGTCTCTCCTCTCCCTTGCAGCCGCGAGCTCCAACATCCGATCAATATCCTCTTCTTTCAGACCTGTGCGTTGTTGTGACGGCCGTGAAGGTACCGTGAGTCCCGAGGATACGGGCATCTGCTTCAACTTTTGTATCGGTGCATGTGCGTGTGCGTGTCCATGTCCGTGTGCGTGTTGTTGTTGTGCCTCGCCCCCACCAGCAGCGCTAGCATGGCCGTTGTATCCTCCCCTCTTCCGCGGCGTACCTCGGCTGGTGTTGTTCATGTTGTGGGTGTTATTACTGTACTGCGAGACGCCGTAGGTACCGTCATCGATGTCCATGGCGTTGGGAGATTTTTGGAAGCCTACTCGTTTTTGCTGGGTGGGCTGAGACTGCGTTTGGTGAGCGCGTGGGTGGTTTGTCGGTCTTGCTGAGGGTAGGCTTTTCCGTGGTTGTGAGCTTGGCAAGGCGGTTCGTTGTTGTGACGGTTGTGCGTGGCCGGATGGCAGAGGTTGTGATTGTGATGATGTTAGTGATGGTTGCGAGGACGCTAGTGGTTGCGATGAAGAGGGAAAGCCGTGTTTGAGGTTAGCAGAGTTACCGGGACTACTCATGAAGAGCAAAGATTCTATGGCGTCTTGTTCCCGGACGTTCTGATGTGGAGGATACATTGGCGGATCCATTAGCGATGTCCGATGATGATGTGTTGTTAGGTAAGGATTGGGTTGCCCAGCTGTGTTTAGTCCTTGTTGGGGTGGTGGCTGGTGGTTGATAGCCAGAAAAGCCTGTGTGTTTCGTGATACCGAGTTCCTTCGAGGATGCTGAAATTGCTGTCTTGTTGGCTGAATAGGGGCGGGAGGAGCAAGAGTAACAGAAGGAATAGGTTCAGCTTGCGAACTTGGGTTATAACGAGGAGCAAAGTGACCTGATTCCCTAGCATAAGGACCCTCAACCGGCCGCCCTTGGCTGTGCTGTTGTTGGGACCCTGACGGATGTTGTTGCGAACTCGGCGGATGCTGCTGAGACCCGGATGGATATTGCTGGGATGATGTTGGGTATTGTTGAGAGCCACCGGGAGCCATGCTGACGTGGCTGCCTCTGCGTTGGAGGTTCAAAAGTTGTGGGCTGGCAGACGACCCGTTCCTCATGTGTACGGTGGAGTTGCTCGAGGCAGGGGAACCGGCACAGGAAGCCAGCGACTCGACTTGGTCAATCGAGTGGGATTGCCATCCATTGTTGACCTTGACCATTGCGTATGAAAGACGAGTCTTGAGCTCGGCAGAGAGCTTTAACAAAGATGGTGTTAGCAATGGGAACATGACCAGGCCTGTGGGCAAGATCCAACCAAAGACTCACCTCTCCAAGTCGGCTGGTGGCAGTGGAAGCCATACTGACGGCGCTTGTGTTCCTTGTGTGACTAGCCGTGCCCGCGGGAGATGGGCTGGGTCTTTCGTATGTGGGCTTGACCATTCCGTCGGCCATGCGCTTCCTCGACAAAGCATTCCCATTCTCAGGTATCCTTTCCTGGGCGGCAGCAATCTGGGAAAGCTGCAGCAACTGTGAATCCTGGCTCGAGTCGTGGCTGTTGGGCTTGCTGGGGCTTCGTCCACCTTCGCTTGAGGGCGGGGTAAACACCAAGTCAGCGTCGTTAGTGGAACTTGTCGCTTGCGAGACGCTGAGGGAGTGCGGGAGGCGGTGACGTTGGGACGGCGGAGGAGGTTGGAAGCGACTAGAGCTGTCGTAGGGAGCTACATTGGCACTGCCGGTATTGGCCGGAGGGTATTCGGACGGTCGAGGGTTGTAGAGACGGGGCGCCTCGGGAGCCGGGTGTCGGACGGTGGGATTGGTAGGCGCGGGTGCCGACGGCTGGTGAGAATGGGGATGCGGATAACTTGGGACGCGATAGTCGGTCGCGTCGTGGGAGCTGGTGGTCGCTGGTCGCGTCTCCTTGTCGACAGTCAACGGTAGAGCAGTGGAGGCTTGTCGCATGGTGGCGGCGACCATGGAGGTATGAGGAAGCAAAAGTGTTGAGTCTTTGTCGGCATTGTTCAGTGTCGGTGTCGGCGTCGCAGTGGTGGCAGTCGCAGTGACACGTCCGGGGTCCAGCGCAGGCAGCACCGACGCGGAGGGCGTGTCCAGCCCCATAATTGTAACTTTGGGTACAGCGACAACGGCCAGGGCAGGCAAGGGGATCGTAGTGGAGGGGGGGATGACGCGGTAGTTCGGAGGCAAGCAATTGGAATGCAGTACACGTCGTAGGTTGAAGATTGCTTGATGCGAGATTTGGCGACAAGCGGGAAAGCGACGAGGCTCTTTGGTTGGAACAAGCTCGGGTAGTAGGTAGGTGACCTCTATAGTGTTGGCGTGCGTTACGCGGTTCGCGACGACGCCCGCAGATGGGCTAACGAACCCGACTGGAACCGCGCTGTGCTGCACTTACACGACTCCGCTTTCCTTAGCTGCTTGTGGACATTGTCCCTTACTGTACATTATTTAGCGGGTCCCCACTGCCGCGCGCGCGTGAACTTCTGGCGCTCTCGGGGCTCCCCTGTTCTGCAGTTCTGTCTCCTGCACGGATCTCATGGTGAGCAATGCTACAGAAAATGACCCCACAATCTTCAGCGCCAAGAGCACGTGTAATTTGAGACCCCGTTGCTCATTCATGTTTCGCCTCTTCAATTGGCTCAACGCGTCAACTGTTCTCTTCTGTCATTTCACAAAGTCCTTCGATTCCGTCGTCCACTTCGAGATGAATGGTCCATCATCAAACAATCAAGTTCAATGATCTGCTGATCTCTAGACACCAATTTAGCATCAAATCAATTTCCGATTTTCTTCCCATCGGTGTATGCCCCGACGCCAAACAGTCGCCGGTAAACACTGCTAAGCGCTCATTGAACGCGAGGTCACGTGTCCCCCACTAGACCTCTTTGGGACCGCAGGCTCTCTTTCTTGGGCAATGCGCAAAGTCACTTTATTATTCATGACCATTTATCATCCTCCATCAGTAGGAGATCATTGGTTTGGGTGTAGTCATGCCGTAATAGACACCCAGTAGCTTGCAAATATGGTTGCAAATCTCGACCTCCTAAAGTCTATCTTACATAATCATTCCGGATCTCAGAGTCATCCTAACCACAAGACAAATACCCCTTCCAAGTGAAATTCAACGCCCCGCGAATCGGCACCGAAAACATCTTATCCGCATCGATGAACGTCCCTCTCAGTTCGTTGAACGTACAGAGCGACGGTTTCTTGGGTTTCCTCTTGAGCTCATCTGACAAAGAGTCCTTCTCTGGATCCCAGTTCCTCCAACCGCCTTCCCGGGGGACGCTCCATCTGATGACTGAAGCACCGCCGCGTCCGAACTTCCCTTGATTATGGTCACAGGTGGTCATGTCTTCGTGGTCACATTGCTCGGAGCAGCATCCTGCGTTATGCCGGTTTTGGCGATCTTCTGCTTCGCCGGGGATTTTTAGCTTGGGTTCTGGACCGAGCACGAGATAGAGGGAGTCGTCGGGCTTGGATTTGGCGGCGGGTTGGTACAGTAGACGGGGCCGGCGCTGACTCGTTGATGAGGGGATGAGTATCGTGCGGTTGAGTGTCTGGACTTTCGGCTCTACCTTCGACTGCGGGTGGTCAGAGGCTGAGGGGTTGAAGGGCATTTTGATGAACTTGACACTGCAGGCCAACAGTGGAAGACAGATGTAGATGGCGTCTGAACACCAATAGGTGACACCAAGCGGTACTGGCAAGTCATCCAGCTTCCTATAAAAGAGGTAGGCAGCCGTCAACGCACCGCCAGACTGCTCAAGTCTCGGAATCCCCATTCCGGTATCACCACCCGCTTCGAACCGGAATCTGACAAGTGAGACAGTTGCTTTCGTGACATGAGAGCTTGCAGCCTCAAAGTTGACGAACAGGGCATACAGCAAAGAGCCGTCTGGGGAGAAGCGGATTTCTGTCAGCAACCGTGAACCGAAGTGTGTCCTAAGGATCGGGATTTGCTCCTCGTCAACAAGCTGAGCTTGCGGCAACAAAGGACCATCATGCCCTTTGGGCAGCTCAGGCAGGCTAGAGATTGTAGTTTTGCCGCTGACTGTGTTCATGATGCTTAAGCTTTCCGCATCTTGTGCCCAGACAAACACAGGCTCGCTGGGGTGCAGCGCGCCGCCCATCTGCCTTTTTGTATTTTGACTTCCAGGGCACGGGATCCAAATAGGATTGCCTTCCTCACGAGCGATTACCAGAACATCCGTGACGGTGTCGCTCTCGGGCTCAGTCACATCCGTTGACGATTCAATACCGCTGGAATCCCCTTTCGTCTCACTGCCAGTTTCACTTTCACTGTCTTCTTCGTCTTCGTCGAATTCCTCCTCATCGAACTCTTCATCATTCTCTTCTTGCTCGTCGTACTCAGACTGAACATCATCTCCTGCGGATTCCTCGCTCCTCTGTCCGGTATTTTCTGCGAGCCCTCGGAGTCTCGCCAAGGATTGAGAAGGTCTCTGTACTCGCGTGAAATGACACGCCACAATGACCCTACCTGTATCGTTGGAAGCAATCCGTTCCTCGTTGACGAGCTGCCATCTCTGAGCCGTAGTGGGAAGACACTCCTTTACGAGTCTTTTGGGTAGCTGATAGGACTGTTCTCCGTCAGCGGTTATAACCGCAACATCCAGGTTGTGCTGGCAGATGGAGTACATCCCGGGAGGATCAACGGCCGGCAGCGAGCCGAAAGAGCCAACATGACGGAACTGTGACCGGTGTCGCTGGGCTTGGTCAAGAGTATCCGAGCCTTGAATACGCCCTTGCCGGAACAAACCTCGTCCACCGAGACATTACTGCTTGGTTCCAGCGCACGTGGGCCAAGGGCGACTCGCTTGATTGTCTTGTCCAAGAACTTTGCTCTCCCCGGAAAAGAACCAGAAGCTGCAAGGTCCATAGGGCATAGCAACAGAGCATCCGTGTCAGACGTGAGTGCCTCGTGCCACTCCAAGATGAAGCGTTGGAAATGGTGAAGGATTTCCAGATCATTTTTTTACAATGCCCCATTACCCGGCTTATCCCACCAAAGTGGTATGGTCGAAGCGATGAAGTCTGATTAGTCCAGTCCGACCCATTGGCTCTCATGCTGTAACCACAGCTGCCACGCTGTACGTATCGGGCAAACAGATAGGGGGTGACTCTGGTCTGTACTCTGAAGGCAGTCCAGAAGGCGCAGCTTTGGAGAAAATCTCGGATCTCTTGGCGCATTTCCTCGCGAGCCACACCTCTCATGTCCAAATGCTGAAACCAAAAGACAGAAGCATATGGAAGGAATGCGTGCTCAGGGTCGGTTTCAAAGGATTCTGGCAAGCCATCCGGACTTTCGTAGCGTCTGAATCTCAGATAAGTGAGACATGTTCGGCCCATTTCCCGATGCGCCGATGATTGATCAACGAAGTATTTGGAGAGATGATCCGGAGGGATCAGGTCGTGACGGAGAAGGAAGAAGTCTTGAACAGATTTGTGACTAAGCTTAACAATTGGGCTTTGTGTGGTATCGGCAGAAGAAAAATCGATGGCCACAAATGATCCACAAAGCTGGCGGATAGCATCTTGTGATGGAATACGTTTTGTGGAATAGTCGCCGCAGCCGATACATGTTGCCAATGCATCGAGCAGTTCGGTTATGGTCAAGAGTTTCTTGGTCGTAACAAGAATGACGATGGTGCGCCTAGACGAGTGGGTGAGTTAGGCGAGCAGTCAACGAAGGCATTCCCCCTAAGAACGAACGCTGCTTACCTTGCAAGCTCTTGCTCATAAGTAGTCCGATAATTGAGTTTCTCGAGACTGCGCAAGTAACAGCCGCTCAACCCCTTGGGATAAGTTCTCAGTTCCTCTTCCGCCTCTTCCTCGCAAGTAACGCCTTGTCCAAGCAGGGTATCTGTACGCAATTTTGCACAGAGGGAGTTGCCCTCCGACGCTTCCACCAAGTCTTCAAGCTGATCCGGCGAAAGTTCCTTCTCAGTAAGCACGTCTTCAAGGTAGGCTTTGATGTCTGGAGCCAAGCTTGCTGGTGGAGGAACGATGTGCAATGCTTGGACCTTTGACATGGTTGCTCCAATTGGGCCTTCATTGCGACTCGTGAAACACCACTTGGTGGTACCATGTCGCTCTGAAGCCTTTAGAATCAGTTGCTCAAACATGCTATGAGAAGCAAACGGCCTTTCCTGGTCTAACCCAATTATTTCGTCAAGACCGTCCACAACGATGTGAGTAAGGCTCGCAGCCTTGAGAAGCTCATGGACAACGGTCATGAGAGGGATTTCATGGCTGATGTGATTATTGGAATGGGTTTGGTCCTCGCGGAACATGTCAACAACTTTGTCGGGTATCCTCTTGGACATGTACCTGCAGAGTAACTGTATGGCAATGGAACGAAGTGCATTTCGAGGGTCTTTGCGGATGGGGTCATTGAAGGAGCAGAAATACCAGACCACCTTGTGGTTCTCCTGCTTTAAGCGGCTGACAATCTGGGAGGCCAAGATTGACTTTCCGCAGCCAGGAGGTGCGTTGTACCATAGGACAGGATCTAACTTTTCCCAGTCCAGACATCTGGGCCGTCCCATTCCTTGTATCCAGGATGGTCGAAGATCCATGAACAGGTTCCGTGGTGGTGAAGTTCCTGCATATCATACAGACTGTGGCGAGGCTCAAGCTTGGAAGGACCTTCGGGGCCGGCGACCCATTGGATGATCTGATCTCGTAGCATGTCTATCCGGTACCTGCATTAGCGCATGTAACCAAAGAAGTTCGGATATGAATGCGTACCTGGACGTCATTGGCGGTTCAGTTTGGCCTCGATAGACTGAGCGAGACACTGAACGCTTATACGGTCCCCCTTGATGGTGCGTAGACAATCCTTGATATCTTTATCAATTGGAGTGATAAGCCCCTTGACGATGCTCTTGTAAACTGGACTGGAGAGGACCTTGATGGATTCCCACCAGAACTGGAGGATTTTTTTGTAGGATGCCACCAGTCTCGTCTGCATGACTGGGTCATCTCGATAGGCATCGTAGAAGTTGTCGTAGCAATGAAGGTATGTATCGACCTCGTCGAGCGCTTCAATAACTATATTAAAACACTCCTGGGTCTTCAGTGCCAGCATCAAGACCATGCGAGCGCCAGAGAAGATGGCAGCCACCGCCATGGGACTGGCCCCGAAGACGGTCTCGCAGAACTTGGCCAGCTTGGTCAAGGACAGCAAGAAGGGCCCCAGCTTGTCCAAAGCCCTGGATGACTTGCTGTTCTTCGTTTTGGAGGCGACATCTTGAGAGAAGTTGTGGAGGAAGGTTCAGAGTCGTTGTTCCTGTTTAGATTCGGACAAGTTCTCAGGCACAGTTTGATCGCGTTGCTCGGTTATTGACTTGATGAAGGGGTGTTTCGCGTGTCTCTTGGACAGCTGAGAGAGGAAGTCATCGACAACAGCAGCGAAGCGTTGGTTTGGCGTCTGTGTGCTGTAGCTGTCGCTGTCGCTCTTGATGCCGTCAGTCGCCATGTTGTGTCTTGAGCTTGACGCCTACAGCTCATGTTGGATCGGAAGCGGAGGTAAAGAATTCCCAACAACATCAACTGCACTGCCAGAGACTTGAAGTACGAGTTGGAGATAAAGCCCTTCATGTTGAGGGTACATGGCGGCTTTAGGGCTGATTGCTTGATTACCACCCCACCTATCCCATCCTTGCGCATTCACTTGGTGGCGGCAGCTGACACCCAAAATATGGATAGCGCTGACGGAGGTCGCCATAACTGGGAAGGAACGAAGGCTGCGAAGGAAAAAGGGGGCCTGATGGCGCGGGGTAAAATCAACCATCTGGCGAGGAGGTTGCTTCGTTGGGAAGGCTCGAATGTGTCTGGCAAATGGACGACAATGAATGCCTGAGAACACCAATGCAAGGTGCTTGCCGGAAGGAGCGCTTGGTGCTGAAGCCGCCTGCAAGTACTGCAGTTACTGCATGTAAGAACAGGCAGCTAGACGGGAGGTACTGTGTATTACCACCTGGGGCTGACAGGCTGGACCAAACAAAATGTAAACCGTCACAGAGGGGACGGGATCGGTCGATGTGATGATCGCAACATCATCACCACGACCAAGCCTGATCTATATTGTACCTCCAGTGCCCCCCTTCAAAATGACTCTGTTTTCTAGTTTTTATATCATCGGCTGGCTTGGGTTCACACCTGACAAGCTCACCTTAACATAATAGCAGCCATGGCAGACGTCGACCCCGGGACACGCCTTGAAACCCTGATTCTCCGCCGCAAGTATGATCCCAAGAGTCAAGAGGAGAAGGAAGTCAAGGTTCAAAGCCTCAAATCCGATGCGCTCTCCGAGGAACAGCGCAAAGAACTCGAACATTCCCTCGTCATCCGTCAAGTCTACGATCCAAATGGCCAGCACCAAAAGACTATCCTCAATGTCAACTCCCCCTTCATTCTCCGCGCATTCCGAGATGTCATCAAGTCCCATCCCGTTATTCCTCCACCTTCGAGGAACCCTTCGAGCTCGAAAGTCCATTCCAGATGCTGATCCATCACTGGGATGATCTGGATGTTCATCGCCGACAGACATCTGACTACGATGTCCGATCCCACCTCGACCTCCTCTTCGACTTCATGGAGTCCGAGCTGGGTCCCGACTACCAGAGACTCCAAGGCCATGTGGCAAAAGGGCCATATTACATATGAGACACTATGGTCCGTCTTCAAGCCCGGGAGCTTGCTCATCGCATTTGAAGACAGTCATCCCTGGCTCCTTCGCTGCTTACGGACCGGCTATGAGGTGTACAGCACCGCAAATGCTATTTGCCACGTTTATGGCGAGTACACGGACTTTGATGGGAAGACATTTGGAACTACCACTCAGGAGTTTCAGATTCGGCAAAAGGTTAGCTTGAACGGTCTTCATCCTGGTGCCATTAACAAACTACCAATCTTTCCACTTGTGTACTGGACAAAGGATGAGAAGAAGATCGATGACCTGAAAAGAAGGCTTCAGGTCAGAGGAGAGGCCTTCAAAGAGACCGACGGTGTTGCTCTCAGATACTACCACGGTATGGCCAAGCATCTCAGAGAACCTCCAAGGAACTACTACCACGCCTCGCTAGAAGGCTCAGCAGGCTTGTGGATTGGATTTACGGTAAGTACTCAAACCTAACGCTAGAAACACTCTTGAAAGCCACAGCAGTGAAAGCGACAGCAGTACTAACTCAGATGAGGTGCACGTCGCATCATCACCCTATATTATCCCCTTACTTCGTCGTCATTGATGCAATAGAAGTTGTTGATCCCATTGTAAAGAGTAATTACAGATAGCGAGATGCAGAGGACACCAGATACTCAAAACTGTGCCGCCCTAGCTGAACAGTGGGAGCTTCACAGCACCATGAACTATTACAAGTTTCTTAGCAAGTCAGCGGGCAGGGGTTTGCCCCTGATTACCAGACAAAGCGGTCGCATCTACACGACAGTTGCCAGGTGAGGAGTTTAGAGTGCGTGTAGGTGAACCTTGGAGTGGAGGCATGCGTCTATCTCACTAATACCCAGTCTTCCAACAAACTTTGACTAAAGAAATGATAAAGGGGGACTCTACGGTCCCTGCATAGTTCGTGCTGCCAAGTTGGCAGCATACATCCTATCCAGAAGAGCTAGCTCCTCCTTCACAGGCTTAAACTTTGACAGAACCTCCTGACTAAGATCACCTTCCTGCTTCAGAACCATTCTCTCCATCTCCGAAACAATCATGTCCATGAAAATCAGCTTATCCTCGGCCGAAAGACACGGGCAAGGAATACCATGCGCAACAAACACTTTTACCAGCGTAACCAAGTTCGCCAGCAAGGACTTGTACTCCATCCGAAACTGCCGAAAACTCCCGGAAGCATCCTCCTCATTCGAGGCACGCCCCTCCTCCATCGCATCCAGCTTCTGCTCCAGCCCCTTGGCGTCCGGTAAAGTGTTCTTGATCCGAGCGAGAAGCGGTGCATAGACATCCATCATTTTCCCCAGCCTCGACTGCACCACCTCAAGCGACGACCTGATCAGAGAGTAGTCATTCTCAGGAACCTTGTTCATGTCATTCATTTCACTCAGCACAAGCTGCAACCCTCTCACGATGTACTTCCAAGCGACCGTTTCAATCTCCTCTTTTTTCTCATCTTCTTTCTTATCTTCTTCATCATCCTCAAATTCGATAGCATCCTCCTCCTCCTCCATAGTAGCTTCTTCGACTTTGTCCAAACGAACTCTCTTGGCCCGGCCCTTCCCTTTATTCTTTTTTCACGCTCACGGGCGCCCGCTCCGCCTCCGTCTCCGTTTCCGTCCCCCTCCATATCCACATCAGCACCGCTGCTAGATCCCCCGGCTTCTCCCTCTCCACCTTTCCTCAAGATGAGGTCCTCAGTAGGCAATTTAACAAAGAGGTATTCATTGGGTTCCTCAATGGACCTCAGAACGGGCTGCGGCGCGGTAGGCATCTCAACAACCTCATCAGCAGAAACAACTCTCTCCAAAACCTCAACACCAAGGCTCATCTTGGCAAACCCCAACCACTCCTCCCTTTCCGCCTTCCACGCTTCGGCGTTCCCAAGGCTCTCTATTGCCACTTGCACGTGCGACGAGGTGACATTACTTACGACGTCCTTGAGCACAAGCGATAGACCGTTGGCTTGCCAGGAAGCGTAACGGACGAGGTCGAGGATGTAGAGGACGCGTTCTTCGGCAGTGAGGTAGGGGGTGGAGTCTAGTATTTTGAGGACTTTGGTGTGGGCTTGTTCGAAGGGTGAGGCATTGGGGTCGATATCGAGGTCGGGGTCGTGGTCGGGTGGAGGTAGGGATTGGGATTGGGACATGTATGCGGTAGGCCGTTTGCGGCCACACTAGGGGTGACAATTCTTATGGGACTGGTGAATGGTGAGATTATTAGTTCGTGTCAGCATGATGGATATCGAGGCTTATGTTGCTTACTGATGAGCGATGAATGAGTATATCCAACGTGTCGATCGCTTCCAAACGCTGTTTGTGTCTGACTTTATTTCGGGCAATAACCGACCTCGGGATGCGGGCCATGGATGATGGAAGCTTTACAGGGGCTGAAGAGAGAATGGGAACTAAAAACAATACAAGCTGTGGCTTCCGGGCGACAAGGTCACACAGCAGTCAGCACCTCAAGCAAGAGCGTTCATTGTGTCTGGATCGTGCTGCCTCTCAGAAGACGACACGAAGACTTACCTGCGTTCAAGTGCGATCCAGAGATCAGTGGTTCCTAGCTTCTTGCACCTGCAGCCCGAAAGCGACGCCATGGTCGCGGGATTCCTTGTATGGTGCTGGCGAGGGGGTGGAAAGATGGTGAACAGAGTTGACATCGGGAACTTGAAATTCGGGAGTCTGCATCGATGTTGCAAGTGGAAGGCAGTGAAAGATTGGGGTGCCGTTTTTGTGTGGAAGTGTCGTCGTCAGTGAGATGGAAAGAGCCGGCCTGACCGGGAATGCTGCGTGGTTCCTTCCTAAAGAGGAAAACAGCTAGCGAAGATGTAGCATCTGATTGGCTAGCTTGTTCGGATGAAGTGGGGACTGTGTTCGGCGAGTCGGGCATCGGCATGGCAGACCTGGCCGGGTCCGCAAACGATGGCATTCTGCGCACCCTATCTCTACAAATTCTTCCCTTTCCTCAGGTGTAGTTTTGTTGAACCAAACCGGAGCTTTGACGTCTTGGTGCAAATTGCTCCTCACAAGGGTAAATCTCATGAACATTTGAGGTTCACGTTCACTGTTTCCTTTGTTCTCTCTCGATCAAGCCTTTGACCCCGGCCATCTTTGACTTCGTTCGCATCTTCCACTTCAACACTTTGACCCTCCAACACTGTTGACAACTCGATATCACCGCATATCAGTTGCTGTCCCTCAGCACTCATGGGTTATTATTTCGTATCATCGCTAGCGACGATGACCTCCACCCTCGCGAACTTGCTTGATTGAGCCCTTCGAGAGCACGTAATTGCTTGGTTGATTGGTTAACTTGATTGACATGATTGAATTGTGGTGAGCGCTGCCCGAGTTGCATCCTCCTTGTCTACTACCACGCCTTCGACAAGGTCACACCGTGACACTGGGCCGACTCATCAGTCATCACTTAATATTGCAGCTGTCTTGTACGCCAAAAATTGCCAGAGAACTGTGGTAATCTTCCCATATCTCTGACAAAGTGGCGGAGCCGCGAGAAAGCGTCTCAAGCTCACATCCAACCATACCAAACCCCCGAACAGATCTTCCAAGCCGACGACCTGCCAGCACTGCGAAAACTGTGTCAACAGGTGGGATTATTGCTTCGCTTACGAGGAGACGGTTGGACAGACAGAATCATCCTGCGGAACGTCAACGAGGTAGTGAAGGAGGAGAAAAGACGGAGATTGTTGATGGTAAGACAGGGTTCAAGAGGGTTATGAGCTCATTGGGCAATGTTGTATGTGCGCCCTACATTCTCGTCGCGACGTGCGCGGAAGCGGTCATTCTGCCTGTTTGTTGCTTGTACGGAGCTTGGAAGGCGGCCAAGTATTGATAATGCCCGGAGCTGGAGTGTGTGGTCCTTTCTATTCCTTCTAGGACTACTTTCGATCAACCATTGGTATGTCCCATTTCCGTTGCCCATTTCCGTTGCTTCAAGTTCTTTTCGCAAGCATTTTGATCCCTTCAATGTCGCCAAAAGTAATACTGCTTGTTGTGCTGGCAGCCCAGCCATACCCCCTCGCATACGCCCTTCTTCGTGTTATCCTGCGACGGAAGAAACAAAGGCCCACGTCCCAGCCAATAGTACCAACAGCGAGCAAGTCCCAACAGGCCGCGAACATACGATGGCCAACACCAAGCCCCAAAATTGCGTTCTCTTTGTCAGAAAGGCACATCAGAAGGTTATCAGCGCAATGGAGCCGCCGAGCAACTTGATGTCAGGTCCTACATTCCCGCACACTGGCCGACGGCTCTGGCTCTTGACTCTTTCACCGTGGCCACCCATATAAGCCATAATGCACATCAGCACTGGATATTCCCGCGAAATCCTTATGCCACGAAACGCAGGTCGTTCTATCACAATAGAATCAACCGACGAAGCGGAAAGATTCACGATGTCGTCCCCGGATGACTTTGACTCGCTCTACGCAAATCTGCCAAAGACTGGAACTGTGCCCAGCGTGAGCGCAAACATCGCGAGCACCTCCTACTTCGCGGACCCTCTTGCGAACTTTGGCACCTCGTTCGCCAGCAGCCAAAGAGCTGGTCAAGATGTCAACACAGGCAAGCGCCCAGCCATGTCACCAAGCTCAACAGAAACACCGCACGATTCTCTGGCCCGGCCAGCACTCACTCACGCAACATCCAAAGACGAACCATTTCCCTTTCCCGAACCAGGACAGGATTGGCGTTTCAACCGAGATTTCCATCCCAGTATCAGCATACCGGAGCGTTATAGAATACTGGAAGAAGAACGTGAATTCAGACAACAAAGACTACAGATTCACCAGGACCTGGCATTGCGAGAGAGGCAGAAGCGTCAGAACGGAGGAGGGGCCCCAGGGACGGGAGCCGAACTCTTTTCATCGAAACAAGGACAACTTGAAAGCAGCAATCATCTCGGGGAGGAAGACCTGAAGAAGTCCAAAAAGAAGATGACCAAGGGGGAGAAGGAGTGGGCAAAGAGAGAAGAGAGGAAGGCGAGGTCTGCTCAGGACACTGCGCTGTGGATAGAGCAGTTGGCGAGGGAGCAGCAGGCTGGGAATACAGGCAAGGTGGAAAAGATAAAGAAGGAGAGACATTGCTCGTGCCCTAGCCTGGGGGGTTGTATCAATGCCTGTTTCGAGGGTTTTATTATGTTGGTGGCCGTCATCGCCTGTTTGCCTTGCTTTTCCTGCTTTTGTGGCTGTTGCTGCGATGATGACTGGTAGGGAGATGAGGCTTGACCGAGTGACCTTTAAGGCCTTGAGGGAGGATGGGATTGCTGGAAACGAGATCATTCGGGATGATGAGGGGACATGGAGAGGTCGTACTGAGGTCCTCGGGAAAATTGTCCCTGACCTCGTGGTGTAGTTGGCATGACAGCGTGATCGGGCTGATGGGAAAAAGATGCTAGCAGGCGAGTGAACTAGCAGATCGGGACATGAAATCAGAAGCTGGGATCCGGTTCGCAAATACCAGTATCTTCGCGAGTTTGACGCTCAGCCGGGCTGGAGCCGGAGGTGGTATGGTGAGGGTCTAAGATGGATGACCTTGTCGAGGCGAACCTCTGTCAACATCAGTTTCTCTCGGTATGAGATGTGAAAGGTACGTCTCTTATGGGTCGGTCGGGTTGGTGGTGTTCGTTCCTTCTCAATTGACAACCTGAGACCCGCCGGACCTGAAATGTGAGATGACAATCATCGACGATCTCAATTGCGAATTATGGAAACCGCGTTCCTCCACTCGAAGGTTGCCGGTTGTAAACGGAAAGAGGAGGTCTGAGCTGACGATCAAACGGGTAGGAGCACCCGGCGGTACGGGAAGGTCCGCGGATGTTCGGTCCGGGGTCGTGCTGCGGGAAACCGAGTCAGGAGTTTCCAGTTCGGTTCGTTTGACTCGAGATTGCGGGGAATGTAAGAGGGGACTGGAAGAAAGGAATCAAGGAGGCGATGGGACTTGGATGACGGCCAGAGTTTAGACACAAACAATGTAAGAAATCACAACATCACATCATTTTCAATCACTTCGGACAAGGAGATACTCAAAAAGGGTTCCAATTCTACACTCGCACGACAAGTGTTAACTAGGTAATCCGCCCGCTTGCTCAATCCATCTACCAGGTGATGTCTATCATTTCTAAGGTATCCAAATACAAAGGAATTTTGGTATCCAACCGCTCTAATCGTTCCGTTCCCGTTCGTTGACACGCCCGCGTCTCAGTCATTAAATCATCGCGACGAAAAAAAGCTCCCACGCTCCTCCACAAACATTTACTCCTGCTTGCCGAGCTGGCCGTCCGACTCCTCGGGCCAGACATCGTAGCCGAAGGTGTCCTTCATGTTGACGAAGCGGCAGTGACGGCCCTTGGCGACCTCCTGGACGGCCTTGAAGTCCTCGTCGCGCAGGACAGGAATCTGGAAGTTGCTCTCGATACGCGAGGGGGTCGAACTCTTGGGGAGCACGACGTAGCCTCTGCGGAGACCCCAGGCAAGCAGCACCTGGGCAAGGTTGTGTCCGCTGCGCTCGGCGACGGCCTTGAGAAGGGGGTCATCACGGACACGCTCGCCCGTCGATGGGACCTGGTTCTGAGAGCCGAGGGGAGAGTAGGCGGCAGGGATGATCTGGTTCTTGAAGCAGAACTCGACGAGCTCCGTGTTGGGGAGGAAGGGGTGGATTTCAATCTGGTTGACGGTGGGCTTGATGCGAGCGAACTTGAGGAGCTTCTGGAGGCCGGGGATGGTCCAGTTGGAAACACCAATCGACCGCGTCTTGCCGGCATCCACAAGATCCTCCATGGCCCGCCATGTTGGCTCGGGGTTCTCGGTGAGCTCCTTCTTGATGATGTACTTGCCATCGGGGCCAATCTTGGGCATGTTCTTCTCGTCCTTCTCGGCGGCAATGGGCCAGTGGACGAGGAAGAGGTCGACGTAGTCAACCTTGAGCTTGTCGAGGGAGTTCTGCAAGCTCCACTTGACATCCTCGGGCTCGTGCAGGTGGTTCCAGACCTTGGTGCAGATGAAGATGTCCTCGCGCTTGACGTCCTTGTGGTTCTCGAGGAACTCAGCAAGCGCCTGGCCGACCTCGTCCTCGTTCTGGTAGAACCACGCGCAGTCAAGGTGACGGTACCCAACCTCGAGGGCCTTCTTGACGGCAGCGTAGGTCTCGCCCTTGGCACCCTCGTTGGCAAAGGTGCCGAATCCGACGGCGGGGATTCTCACTCCATTGTTGAGTGTGTAGTAGGTGTTGGCGGCGGTAAATCCGGGCATTTTGGAGGTGATGATATTAGGGATTGGCAAAGCAATCCTTGGCAAAGTGGTGTATGGTGTTTTAGGTCTGGAAAGGGGTATCGTTTGGAGTGCTTTGTCGTCTATCAAAGGTAAGACTGATTGATGAGGAGTGTTTGATGATGATGAAGATGAATGAATGCCGATGAGAGGGAAAATTGCAGAAGCACAAAACGGATATGGCGTCAAAAAGTCACACAACCCACGGGAGTCACCACTTAAATCCAATTCGCGTTCTACAAGAAACTGCCGCTCACGCCGCTTGCAAGGACCCAGATACGCGCACGCCGGACCACACCTGCAGGTATTTCCTGTTGACTTTCGTGGCGGTAAACAAAGGCAAGACAGGTGTGGCCGACTCGAGCCATTCGCAGCGGCCCGCCAAGGTATCCCTCCAGGGGGTGCGGATCCCCCTCGACAACTCGATGCATTGTGCTGGGTCAGCGTTGGATCAGTGTTGGGTCAGAGTGTTGGAAGGGCGGACGGCGCCAGCGGCATTTTTAGGGGTCCACCGATGACGCACGAAGCCCCACGGAGCCCCACGTGCGGCGGGGGTGTGGTGGGCTTTCGGACGCCGACAAGGTCTCAGAGTCTCTCGGACGGGGGCATCGCCAACGACAGACAACGAGACGCTCAGGACGCTGCACCGACACGCCAGACGGAGGGACAGCCCAGCATCAAACGGATGACAAAGGAAACGCCAAGACCAGGCTTTTCCAGTTACGGGCTCCGATCATCTCGAGATCTTCATCCATGGCGAGTCATGTTTGGCTCTGATATTGTGTCCTCCATCGACGGCGCATCTCTTCCCTGGAACATCACTGTCGGTCAGTTTCAGGCACCGGCCTGTTATTGGAGCCAGCATCGCTTTGGTCCTCGCTGGTGCCGTTGCCTTGGTCGGTTATCGCGCCTCGTCGGTGAAGAAGTGCAACCCTCCCTTACTGTGTACCTGCAACAACACGGACAACGGACAAACAAGCAGCGGCGAACGGACTCACGGACGGACATAGTCGGACATGGTTTGGCAGAGATGTATCCAAAATGGTGGTTAGCGGTCAAGATGGCGGCCGCGCCATACGCTGGGTCCCGGGTGCCGGCCGGGTGGTCTTCGGCTGCTGCCACCTGTCTTACGGCGGTACCACTGAAACGGTCCCACAAAATATATCCACTCTTCGCCCTGCTAGGACGGCCAATCTTTTTCCTTCTTTGTTCACCATCTCCGTTCTCCAGGACCCTCAACATCTGAAAATTTCTGGGGCCTCTGACGACATCGACATGGACAAGCCCGCCGCCTATGCTACTACCGTCCTAGCCGTGTTCCGTTCCGCAGGTAACCTCCGAGTCCTCCTACCCACATTGTGTCCGCTTCGACCCTGACGGCAGCCAGTAACGACATGTCCTTTTGGGCACGTTTGGACGCGGCGTGTTGGGAGATTGATTCAGGACAACGGTGAATGCACGGAGCATGCAAAAAGGGGCCACTTATGGTCCGATGGGCAATACGGAGTTGGGGACGGACTGCAGCTGGTATATCCCATCCGTGGGGGCCTTTCCGGGGCTCCTGCGCTGGCTGCCACGGCACTGTGTGGAAACCGCCATCTCAACATCAGTTGCCCTATCTGTCGTCATCCTGGAGATCTCTGTGCGGCGATACACGGTTGAGATGGTTCAGATCGACGTTTGGCACCAGACGGCACCCTCTGAATGGATTCCTTTGTCAGCGGTAGATCAGGGGTTCGCGTATGCGACTCGCGTGGTTGGTCTGATGGAAAGGGCATCCCAGGACTCCAAGGGTCCCAAGAGCACACCGGGACATGACAAGAGCCAAGACCATGATACTATCGCCTTAGACCCTACGGACGGCGAGATATAAGAGACACATATCCCCGCTGGTCAAGATGGTATTGTTCCTCCATCACCAGCAGTCGAATCCTCTTGTGTTTTTGTTCATCTTTGATACCACTACTCACAAAACGCAGAGCGTTTCATCTTTGCGTCTCTTCATCCATACAGTATCCTCGAACAGTCTTGAAGACTTGAACCGCAGCTTTCTTAATTTTCAGCTTTGAATATTTGGTTCTGATACCCCATCCATCAAGATGTCCGGTCAGCAAAGCAATCTCGTTGTGGGTGTCCCTAACCCAACCACCAAGACGACCCCCCATACTCCTCCAGAGTCACCAACTGAGACTCAAATCAAGGCCGTCGACGGTGTCGAAAAGCAGAAGCAGCAGCAGCAGGAACCCCAAGAGCAACAACAACAACTAAACGTCCAGAAGACTCGTGGTAACTCTACCCGCCACGACTCCCTCGCCATCCCGCTTTCTCCTACTCCCGGCAACCACAACACCATCGAGGTTCCGGCCACCAGATCCCCCGATGCTCACGCCGAGCTCTACATGCACAACCTTTCGGCCGCCCCATCCTTGAAGGAGAGGAGACTTTCCCGCAACTCTTTCGGCGCTTCTCTTCCCATCCCCCGTTCCAAGCGCCAGTCTCGTCTTAGCAGCGTCACCTTCCCCGGCGTCGCTGAGGCCCTTCAGGATGCCAGCGGTACCCTTCCTCTCAAGCCTACTCGCGAGTTCTTGGCCGACCGCGTTCAGGACATCCACTCGGAGAAGGTTGAGAAGGTCAAGAACATGAGCTTCGTCTTCGACATCGATGGTGTCCTCGTTCACGGTGATCGTCTGATCCCTGAGGGCAAGAAGGTCTTGGACATGCTCAACGGCGATAACGAGCTTGGCATCAAGATCCCCCACATCTTCCTTACCAACGGCTCTGGTAAGCCCGAGCTTGCCCGCACCGAGCAGCTTTCCAAGATCCTCCAGAACCCCATCAGCACCGATCAGTTCATCCAGTCCCACACCCCCATGCGCGCCTTGGCCGAGTACTACAACACTGTCCTCGTTGTCGGTGGTGAGGGCTACAAGTGCCGTGAGGTCGCTGAGGAGTACGGCTTCAAGGACATTGTCGTGCCCAACGACATTGTTGCCTGGGACCCTTCGATTGCCCCCTACCGCGTTTTCACCGAGGAGGAGCGTGCCACTTCCCGCCCCCGCGACTTCACCAAGTGCAACATCGAGGCCATCATGGTGTTCTCCGACTCCCGCGATTACGCTACCGACATGCAGATCATTGTCGATCTTCTCCGATCTGAGAATGGCCGTCTCGGAACTGTTGCCAAGGACCCTGTTTCGCAGCGCATCCCCATCTACTTCTCCCAGGGTGATTTGCTCTGCCCTACCGAACACCCTACTCCCCGCATGAGCCAGGGCGCCTTCCGCATCGGTCTCGAGGCCATGTACAAGGCTCTCACTGGCGTCGACCTCGAGCGTGTTGTCTACGGCAAGCCCGAGATGGCCACCTACAAGTATGCCGACGAGGTCATCGCTTCCTGGATGGAGCAGATCCACGGCGAGGAGAAGATCCCTCAGAACATCTATATGATCGGTGACAACCCGGCTTCCGACATTGTCGGCGGTAACCTCTACGGTTGGAACACGTGCCTTGTCCGCACCGGTGTGTTCCAGGGTGGCGAGAACGACGAGGAGAACCCGGCCAACTTTGGCGTCTTCACCAACGTCTGGGAGGCCGTCACCACCGCCTGCCGCAAGGAGCTCGGTGATGACTTCAAGTTCAAGTGGGACGACCGTGTCAACCCTCTCAACATGAACGCCTCTGCCATCGAGTAAAAAAAAGGGATTTTGCGATGGTTGGGTTTTGCGAGAGCAGTGCGTGGTTATTTACAGCATGATATCATTGGTATTTAGGGCATTGATTGGCTTGCTTGGCTATATACCTTCGCTTTGGCAGCGACAGCGGAATCTTCGGAATTGGGGAGATATCATACCACATATTTTGGCGTTAAAAGGGTTTTCATTTCTTGTTTTGGGACTACAACGATACCGCGAGGGTTGATGAGGCCCTTGCCCGAGCGAGGATGAGTGGAAGATCAAGAGGAAGAGGAGGATGTGGGCAGCAGTGGATGAAGATGTTTCCAACCTTTTTTTTTCGTCGTCTGCTTTTTCTCATCACAATGCATTTTTCATTCTACTTCTCCCCTTTCTTCCTTTTTCACATGTTGTTAGATCTAGCATTTAGACTCTAGAGCCTGATCGGGATTTTTTAGATTTCATTGTTAAGGATACACAAAAACATCAGTTCACATTACCACCCATTGTTCCCCATTGATCCCTATACCTATCCATCCCTTCCACCAAACACTCAGTCGAAACCCAGCTGAAACTGACACAGGGCACAGTAAGAACAATGATCGATGACCCAAATGACAGAACTGGCCGGGGCCTACGTCCATACTTCGAGAATCACACAAACCTTCTTTCCCCTCAAACTACGTCGTTGTTACTGGACCAAGTGGACAAGGGTGACCCCTTTTTCATCGAGCTTGTCAGCTCTGCCGTTGTCGTTCACAAGAACCGTGCAGCGCACTGTAGGGTGCATGCACAATGCTGGCTCCGGTTTTCCTTTCCTTGGCGGACGCCACCTTGCCAAGTGAGCCGGAGTGGGCTCCGTGGAGGTTTGCCAAGGCGCTGTTTCAAGATGGAGGAGCGTGCCAAGGAGAGGTGCCAAGGCTGCTCCATGAATGACAGCGAAATAAGCTGACAGGCTGATGATGCAGTGCAGTGATCATGTTGCCGATGGGAAAATTGATGATTCACGATTGACGATTCACATTTCACAATGGGCGAGGGAAGGCGGGCGAGCAACGCGCTGGGAGTATCAAGGGAGTGTCAAGTCCACCAATTCAATACTTGGGAAAGAAAGAAAAAAAAATAAAAAAAATAAAAAAATTAAAAAAAAAAGTGGATCCATGATGCACGTAAACAACCTTGGAACGAATTTGCAAAAAAAATTATAAAAAAATTAAAATTAAAATTTTTGTTTCTGACATCAGGCGAAACTGATATCATTTCTTTATGCCTTCGTTCTTCAAATCAAAAATGTATCAAAACTTCAACCATCACGCGCGGTGCCCGGTGCCGAAATCCGCGACACGAGTTGGTCTAGTGGCCCGAGCGCATCCCGAGTAAACGTACGTACATAACCTGATGCTTGCTTGGCGTTCAAGTGTACATGGACATGTACCTATACCATACCGTGGCATTGAATGAAATCCATTGGTAGAGCGGAAGTATTGTCGAAGTTTTTCAAGAGGTTTTTCGAGAAATGATGTTTTTTTTTTTTTTTTTTTCTTGGCTTGATTTTTGGCTTGGCTTTCACTTGGCTACCGCTCCTGCCGGCGTCCGCGTCGGTTGTGTGGTACATACACAGTAGGCAGTGTAACACTCGGAATTTCCTTCCCCTCGTTCCAGTCGATCTTTCGATTTGGTGATTTGATGAGCAGAGTTTGCATAATGCGGCTCATTCATTTGCTTGTTTTTGTCAGCTTGGTTTCAATGCTTGTTCTTGCTTGTCTACTTGTCTTGTAACTCTTGTAACTCTTGGTTGTGTGAGATCCTGTCATGTCTATCACGTCGGCATTTGATGATAGGTGTGGTTGGTTGGTTGGCTGGCTCGGCTGGTTGTTGATTCGGGAGTTCGACTGTCAACTACGAAATACTTACCTCCAAAGGCAATGATTTGCCACCACCACCCCAAGTCTAAACCTTGGTTATCCGAACCAGACTTTTACGAATGGTGAACACAGTCTGTGAAAACTCGTTCATGAAAACTCGGTCATCGAATTTTCGCCCATGGAATCATGCGTGAAGCTTTTGCATTAGTACGTAAGGTCAAAGTCATGGACATCGATTGATCTGGACATCAGACTCGAAACAGGCTTTGAGAGTAATGACCAGCTTGCCAGCTTCTAGGCTTGCATGGGAGGCGATTGACCATGACAAAAAAGAGCACAGAAATCTCGATATCACTGATAACATCGAGATAAAAGCTGATTTGATTAGACCACGATGAACGGACCGACTCTTTGACGTCGTCCAAGCACCGTGGCATTGGCGCCCAAGCTTGACGGACACAACAAGCATTGACCAAGATGAAGCATATCCAACAGCAACTGGTGAAACGGACAGAAAACATTTGACCGTTTTCACCATGGCTTTTGCAGTTTTTTGTCTCCGAAACCGAGTGCGAGCATCAACGGGTTCATCCGGACTTGGGAAAACACCACTGTGCTTAACAATTTTGGTGATCTTCCCTTCTCGTCTCCAGCGTCTCGGGTTTGTTTTGCTTTTTTTGTCAGTCCATTTTGTGTATTCCGATGATACCCATCTCCCCATATCCCCGTTCACCTGAATGAAACCTTTCACAACTGCTGCATCAGCTTGGAGCGGGCTATGTACATATCGTGAACGTTGATTGACTACGAAACCTCCACCGGACGACACAGTGAGGGGTGAGGGACCTTTGATGACAGTTTCAAAAACACCACCCCCACCATCAACGAGAAAAAGCCCCATAAGGAAAAGCCCACACTGATATCATTTTGCATACACAAGTAATCACAAACCCGCATCAGCAACCAAGGGGTGGCCTGGGTGGGTTTCTTCCGTTCGCGAAGTGTACACTAGTGTAAAAGTGGACTGCGGACTGCGGAAGCCGGAAGGGCGGATGACGCCAAGCGAGTGGTTGTGGGACTTTGCGGGACTTGGGCAGGGAACGAGGGGGTTTGAAACTCCAAAAGAAACGGTGGAAAGGGTTTCGTTGTTTAGATCTTTTCAACAACATTTCGTTCGTTGGCTGCCTCGCCAGCGTTGTTGGAGGCCGTCCGCCATCCGCGATTGAAGTTCGTGATGATGGATTGAAGGTAGGTCTTGGCGATATCCAACGGATGGATGCTGATGGATCAAAAAGAGAGAAAGCGGCATCAAGATGGAAAACAGCTTGGGGGTACCGTAGAGGGCGATGGACTTTAGAAAAGCAAAGGAACCCTATGTGCATTGCATTGGTGTGTTTCGACTTCTGTACTGCGATATGTAGTGTAGATGCAATGCTCGCGTGGCCTCCAACTTGCGGGAATAACAAACTGGTCGAGAGTGATGATGGGAAAGGTATCAAAAGACCATTGTAGTTGTCGGATGGTGTTGTCTAATGGTGAATTGTTCACGATGTGTTGATGCCCCGTTGTCTGGTTGACCCGTTGTCAAGCTGTCAAGCCGTCAAGCTGCTGACAACAACAACAACAACAACGAGAATGTGGATTCACGGTTGTGTTCGTCCCCAATTCGATGCATGTGAGGTTTCCATCTCGAACCATTCCTCATAAGGTTAATCTGCTCGTTGACACGATGCTGACATGATAATCATGAACATTGTCTGCCGTTGCCGCTGCCGGGCCGGAAGACAAACAACCATCAGCTGTCAAAAAGTCGCAATCGGATCCGTTGTCCCACGCTGAGAGCTCCGCCATTCTCCGCCTTCCGCTTCCGTAGTCTCCCGTAGCGCCCGAGCGCCAAGACGTCCCGTGGAAATAGCGGGAAATAACAGCACTCCGCCAATTCCAACTCCGACACGGGTCCCCACCACTCCGACTCCGTTGAGGGAGTGGGGGGGGGAGCGCCGTCGTGTCCGGGAACCCGGCACCGCATGGAAAGGGGGAGTAAATATGTCGGCGGTCGCCGTTCCGCACCGGGTTCGGTTCGGTTTCGGTGCTTCTCCGACGCGAGCAAAACCGCCTCTTGGCATTTCGGGGTTCTGCCAACCAATGAGAGTTCCTGGAGCTGCTAACCGAGGCCATGTTTCTTGGCGCAACTTGGCGGACCCTTTTTCCATTTGTTCGAAATCGTTTGGGCCAAGGTTTTTGCCAAGATTTGCATTCATGGGCCTTGATCTGTCCTTCGCCCATCAATGCAGTGCAACCAAAGTCGCAGATATCACCAGTGTCAGTTTCATGGTTTAGAAGATCTTCATTCTGTGCAACTTTGTGCCCTGGCAATCACCGCATGGAAACGCCTATCATCACCTCCATCACACAGAATATCACAAGAGACAAGAGACAAAAGTTCGGTCAATGCAACTGCAACCCAATTGGGATTTCACATGTTGATTGTCCCGTCCCTGGCAACGGAAAGGATTCAAGGAACGGAACAACCCAAAGTTCCCAATCCATAAAGAAACGATCTTCATCCCTTGGAATCCACACATCTTTCGATTTCTGCAGCCCGGCAAGGCAGATCTTAGCCTCTTTTTACCCTTTCAATATCCAATGCAAGATCTTGTTGCCGAAAAGGCTGTAGCCTGGAATGCCCAGCCGGTTATGCCCGCTAGAGATTGCCCGCTATTCATTCTCTTATCGGGAAAATGTCAAAATGAAGAAAGGATGGGACGTTGCGCTACACTAGAACCTTCTCATGGAGCCTTTCTGTGTGGTGCACTGCAGTGCCCTTGTGGCTACCTGTACGGAACCACCTGTACCGGCCGGGTGTGGCAGGTCCCTGAGATGGGATCTGCAATTGTTCTTTCCGTCTTTTCTGTTATTTCCTAGAACTTTTGTGCTGCTTTGGGAAGTTGGGAATCCCTTCACCGACGGGTGTTTCATATCTTCGGCTGGCGCACTGTGTTGGTGTTGTTGCAGTCCCAGAGAGATGGACGGTGATAGCGTTGAAGATCTTATTATCCTGATTGGGATACTGAGGAAAGTTGGTACATTTTGATGCTTGCGGCTCTTTGTGAGTGAGTGCATTGTTGCAATTTGAAGATCATGATTGTCAAACAATGTCTTGGAACTCTTCTTGGAGCGATGCCAGCCGTTCCTCAGGTTGATTTGTTGTTGATCATGAATCCGCGAGCGGGATCACTTCCTCAAGTAGGGTTGGTGAGAAGTGATGTGATGGCTGAAATGGTACGTGATTTGCTTATCCGCGAGTTTATCATCGCCGACTAACTAACTGACCGGCAGAGATATCACGGCGGATAGCCATGGTGTCGCGGCAAACTTCGAGACCTGAAGTTGCAAATGCGGCTCTGGCGGCCGAGCTTGGCGACAACAAAACCGAATCTGGTGTTGGACGTCGGGTTTAAGATCGACATCGACGGCTATCTCGTTAGCTAATTCCCGGCGACACGGCGTGGGCGGCGGTTGAAGCCTTTCGCCCGGCTGGCCGGGGTCCTTCCGGTCCATGTCTTGGTGGTTACAACTTCCAGAGTTCAAGGGTCTCTCACCGTTGTTCACCGTCCCCCGACGGTCGTCAAACTCCGTCTCACGGTTTCAGTTCCACCCACGCCGCCGTTCCAAGGTCCCATAAGCTCCGAATGGGGTACCCCTGTCGTCGACGACCCTTGTGTTGGAAGTTACCTCTGGCTTTTGGCACTGTCAGCTCGCCGCCTTTTGGAAAGTCGACAGTGAACTGCCCTAACAATTGCACTAACATTTTTTGCCACCCTCGCTTAACAACACCACAGCGGTGACGGCAACATACTTCACGATAGCAGTTGCTTGATGGTGACGACGACCAAGCCGGGGGGGGGAGTTTCATTGTCCGCTTCTTCGCCTGCTATCAGACGTCATGGTGAGTGTTGTTTTCATGTGATTCAGTTCTGTTCGTTTCTCGATGTTTCTTTCCACCACTCACTTGTGCCACTACGCTAAACAATTCGAGTCCAAGATGGTCCAAGTTCAAGCTTTGAGACCTGCAATGCCCTTCAATCTATCCCACATCACAGCAATCATCTCTCTGCCTCGACAGCACCTGCACCGAAGTGAGAGCATCCGCACTGCATCCAAGTTTGAACATTGCGAACATGGCGGAAGGAATCATGGTCAACTCAACTCGTGACGGCGATTATTGGGAAAGAACTTGACACAATCTCCCTCGATCTTCCTGCACCATCTCCCAGTTCCGCCCTTTCACCACAATGTCGTGCGGTGCCCTTGCCTCAACTGAGTGAGCAACTGTTGTGTAACCCCTCTTCGACCTCTGATCACAGGGAAAGAGTAAAAGAGACCCATCTTCTTGACACAGGTACTTCTGTTAGGAGGGCCATGCTTCACTATGGCAAATTTCATCGCTCTCCTACCACTTCAAACAGATTATGAGAGCAGGTCACGGTACTTGTTCAGTTACTCTTTCATTCTGTCCTTGCCGAGTGTCACAAGTTCGTTGTCTTTCGGACTTTGGGTTCAGTTGTCCGCGTCTCTCTCCCTTCAAGCTCCAGTGCGTCGTTTGCTTCGTTTCCACCAACGCCGCATCCCTCATCGCCAACGCTTCATGCAGTGAGCCACTGCACAGCAAGCGCGCTTTTGTCCCCCACTCACCCTCACTTCCCACACACTAGCGACTTCCACTTGTAACCTTGTGATTCGTAACACCATGCCCGCCGCAGTGCATTAGACGGCCTTCATGAAGTCGAGATATAGCGCGGAGTTGAAGTAGTGTAATGAAAATAAATGGAGCGCCATGCAAGTAAACCACCGATCATCCACGACCGCCCTTAGTTCAACACGTTGGAATATGCCGAGACCGTTGATGATCCATGATAAGCTCAACTCCAACCCTCGGTGTCCTTGCCAGTTCGCAGTCAGCTCAACTCGATCGTCGTCGTTGTGCCGAAGGAGTATCATCGCATCACAGTATCTCCAACCAACGAAACTCACAATGTGTAAGATCCATATGTGAAACAACCTCACTTCGTAAAGTGTGAGTTGAGTGAGACGGACGTTGATCTGCCCCTCTGTTCACCACTCACCACCCATCGCCCATCACTCATCAACAGTCGTCGCTCGGTACCTAAGCGGAGATAGCGTCTTATACACTAGGTACAACCGAGCTTCCCCTTCCCTGTCGTGGATCACTCGCGGAGTAAGCCGACGCAATTCTCCCATTGGCCTCAACTCTCCAACACGTTGGGGCTAAAGGAAGGATCGCCTACAGGGAACTGAGCATACAGGGACCGAGTGTCGTGGGATACAGTAACGGTCCGCCTATCAAGAACCAGAAGGGCCAACATCTGACGGAGGGCAACCCAACGGAGGTGGCAGATCGATGACCAGATGTGCTAACGACAAGGTACATCCGTAAGATACTCCGTTAAGCGACGGAAGCTACCTATTCAGGTTAGGGTAACGATGTTGTGTGGATGTCGAGTGATGGATGTACCGCAGGACAGTCATTCATCCTTGATCCGTTTCTTTGTTATGTTGACGCCGGGTGTGTAAAAGTCTAATAAGACTGAGCACGAGAAGGTGTGTCGCGGACACTCGCGTATCTCGTATCCAATTGGTGACCATGGTGAGCTACGCTGTGTGTAATGGGTTGTATGAACGTTGTAATTGATGTGAGATTGCCATTGGGGTCTACGCTTAGAGGTAGGTACAGGATGGCCATCAAAATGAGAACGAAATGACTGTAACCTTCCAAGCAAATAGCAAGGCCCTTTTCGAGGCATGTAAGACTAGCATGCTAAACTAAGAGTAGGGAGGAAAGAACAGAGCGAGGTGCGCTAACGTCTTTGCTATCCGGTGACAAGATGGAATAAATGAAAGAGACTGCGTGTCCTCTAGACTCCTTCTTCATATCCTGTTTCTCATTGTAAGGCCTTAACCATCCCCTCCTAACTCTTTACGCTCCAAGCTGGAGCTCATCACTCATACGCCACCCTGATCTTGTTCCATGTCGGAATCTCACTCACATCACCTTCATCTCCCTCCCGAATATATGCTCATAAAGATCCATCTTCCCAGCCACCACACCCTCACTCAACCACTCAACCACTCAACCCAACAAACTGCCCAACCCTGGGCTTCACCCCAAGACAATTCCCCACCTCCTCCTCCTTCAACACCACCACCCTACCCGAATGGATCCCTTCAGCTTTGTTCCCCCCTTTATTCTTCGCACCATCCCCCTCCTTAAGATAACACAGCCCGCTCGCCCAGATATAACTAAACCCCGTACATTTTGAGTCAGGAACATCTGCGCACAGCGCGCCGCACCGGCCGTACATATCCCAGTTTTGAGCAGGCAAGGTGATACTCCCAAAGTTATTGGAAGAGGGGTCAAGCGCTGTGTCGCATTCCAGGGCGAAGGTTTGGCCTCCGAGACACCAGACGTTGGAGCCGGCGGTGCCGGCAACGGGGCAAGTGGGGGATTTGGGTTCGATGGTGGGAGGGGTGGTGGCGCGGGTTGTTAGGGTTGGGGAGGGAGCGGTTGATGCGGTTGCTGGTGGTGGAGGGGGAGGAGGAGGAGGGGAGGAAGTGGTGGTGGGTTTGGAAGGTTGTAAAGTGCCGGTTGGAGGATCGACGGTAGTGGTAAGAAACTCAGTTCTGGTGACCTCGGGGTGATGGGTCACATACGAAGTTGCGACAACCGTTATCCAAACTTCTGGATCTCTGCGGTTCAAATCATGGGTTTCAGTGGCGAGCCTGGTGGCTGTGTCCCAGGAGTCATCATCGTCATCGTTAGTGTCGGACTCATTGCTATCACCCTGCAGGTCACGGGCGATAGGCGCGGCAGAGGTGGTAGGTCGCTGGGGAGGATTCATGTGGGCGTAAGAGGTGTATGTGTGATTCGGCCGGTGAGAGCGAGTATAGCTGTGGTTGTGGCTGTGGGTGACATTCCAGGTGACCGAGGGCTTGGAGACGGCGGTGAAATGGGACGTGTCGAAACCAATGGCCTCGCGAGGACGAAAGTCCGAGATAGTTGATGTGGTTGGAGATGGTGATGATGTAGTGGCATCTTCATCACGGTTAACCAGCGTCGGGCCGGTTTGAGTTAATGAGGTTTGGATCAGGACCCTCATGATGCCAGCAGTATCGGTAGGATCGTGGGTGTCCTTAGTTTTAGCAAAAGGAGGTGTGGAATGGTTATAAGTCCATCCATAGCGATTATCCTCGAGTGTATCTGCTGTGATGTTGTTAGCTGAGCTGATGTTGATGGCGTCACCGCATTCGGTGGAGATTGAACTTTCAAGAGGTACATACTCGAAGACTGCTCAATCTCATGACGTTTGACGACACGGTTCAAAGGAGAGGCAGTGGCCATCGAAGAGAGACCAATGGCCACGATGAAGGGGTGAAGAGTAGCCTTCATGATGATGGTACCTCTTAAGTCTAGACACTAGACCGGTGTGCTTGTCGTGCTATGGTAGGTATCCGTAGAGTATACCGCTAGAGGTATGTGGCCACCAAAATCCAAGACCTACCGAGTAATTCGAGATGTCGGTGTGGTTGAACGAAACACTCGGAAGGATAAGTAAGAAAACAGCTTGCTTGCTTACTCCGAAGACGACCTAAGGACGCCTTATAACCAACCCCATCTTACCACGAGGCGGCAAACACAGATAGATGATCCTTGTGCGCGTGAATGAAGTAGAGCCAGTCCAGTCCATGATCAAAGACAAAACGCCAAACGCATGCCCTTGCTTCTCAAATCTCAATGCCCCGGGACGGGATAGCCCGATGCGCCACCCTTCTCATTTTCTCAAAGCAGAAATGCAAAGACACGGTTGAAGATGATAAAGACAGGTTTGCCAGTCGACAATAATGCTTTGTTTCGGTCAAACTAAGTTACTAGGAGGGATGCTTAATTCTGCCAAAGCAAACAAACGCGGACCACGGAGCAGGGGTTTAGGACTCTTGAGTGGTACAGTGATGGAAAGTGGACAAAGTGCAGATGGTACGGTTACTACAAATAGCAACAATTTCGAGGAGCAAAGAGAAGGCCGAGACTGAACTGGGGTTTGGTAGATCGAAAAGCGCAGAAGTCACCGGGCATGTGACTAGGGTCTGACGCGTCGCTTGAGTCGCCTCAGGAGAGACCGGTATGATATCCAGGGCAACAGAGTCTAGACTGTCAGTCTCCGGTCCTTACTCCCGCCGTAGCAATCACGCTTGTCAAGACCACCGCTGCTTTGAGATCAAAGAATGAAGCAGTAAGACGAAGAATGCCAATGGAAAAGGGAGACCGACGGGAGAAAAAAGGCAGTTTGTTGTTTGTGGACCAACCCCCCAGCCGCTCACAGGTGCTCACTACGTAAGCCCGGCCGGACAAAGTGGACGGACCATGAAGTCCCCAGTGTATCACAACACATCAACGGTGCGAGGATGGTTGTGTGCATGGTGGGTGGGCTTGTACCAGCCCGTAGAGGCGGTAGGGCTGGTACCTCAGATTTGAGACTTGGTGAGCGTCAGACATGGCGGGTGTTTGACATGGAGAAGGGGCCCAGGGAGCAGATGGCTGAAGATTCCGGTCGGGTATACGTACTCGACCCGTTTCTGTACCATTGATGCTCTATCTGGCTTCTCCCAACCCAGTTCCTCACAACAGTGCACCCTGGAGGTTTATTCATCCTTGGCCGCATTCGCCATCTTATGCTCTTCCAGCGCGTTGGCCAAAGCCGGCCCAGACCCCCTTGTAGTGATCCTCCAGGTCTCCCAATTCTCGCCGTCATCCGCTGCAGCCGTTATCGCGACGGACATGATGGACCTGGGCCCATATGGTTCTGCCTTGTAAGTATACTCAGAGAGCAAACGCTGGTGCAGCATAAGAATGCCCCGAGGTTCACAATGCATCTGAATACGCACCTCACCGGTCCTGTTGTGCTTAAACAGACGCAAGGGCCCAACACCCTGTAGTCTCCATGGAGTAAAGTCCCTGTAAACGACGTCGTCGTCGCGGTTCGGATCATATTTCTCTGCCTTGGCACGAACCTCGAAGACAACCGAGACGTCGTCCGCTTCTCGCGGACTGTCATCGACCAACGAGAGTTGGAGCTGCAGCGCCTGAGAGAGGTATTGTTCGCTCGAGCTGGGTTGAGCCGACGGAGTCAACTGTTCATCAATGCCGCTGAGTATTGAAGACGGAGGAGGAGCGTTGGTAGAATGGTTGTTGGATGGAACTGCTTTTGTTGAAGGAGAGATCCAGGAGGGGTGAGATCCGGCTCACAAGTCTCGAGTAAATAGGGCATTTCCGTTTTGTTAGTGGTCATGAACCACTATCACACTCGGTTTTGATAGATGGCTTTTGGTTGAGGTTACAAATTGGAAGACGGGTGTCGGTGGCTGCCTAGGCTCCCGCATCCGACGCCGGAGCCCGGGCGGGGATATGTGGTGGGGTTTCCACAGCCCTATCAAGCCTGCCTGGGAGCTACAGCGGGGCTCGGGTACGTACCGCTGGAGCTTGCAGGGCGTTAAAATACATGACGATATCGTAGGAGAAAGCATCACATCATCGATACATCACCGCATCCCGCCCGTCTGCACATCCAAATATCAACACACATATGCACAACGCCGTCTCGGCACCAAGCATGCACCCATTCTAGACGAACAAACAACGACGACAAGTCATGACCATAACCAACCATGGTCCATCTCGCTGAAACGACCAACCCGTGGGGCGGTCACTCGTGGATTTCCGACTCTCCCACCAAGACCGCCCTCCCCCTCGACAACAGTACCCTCTATGAAAAGACCCCTTCGGGCGCCACCAACACCTCCCGCAGTGTTGGCAACAAGCTCTTCCACTCCTCCCTTTTCGACATCGGCATCCTCCGGGACACCCTCCTCCCCTCTTTGACTCTCCACTCCGGCCTGGCCCTTGTCGCTTACGGCGCCGGCCGCTACACCAACCGGCTCGAAACCAAAGACTGGCTGTGGCCCTCTGGCCAGGTCCTTAACGCCTGGTGGTCCGCCCTCGGTAAGCGTGTCATCTGCGACGGCATTCCTCTATCCAGCGCATGGGCCATCGTCGACCGCCCCCAGCGGCTGCTGCTGACGGGCGTCACGCTCTGGGGCTCGCGCCTCTTCTGGCGCATCGCCAACCGGTCTCTTAAGCGTGGCAGCGGAAAGGATGATCCCCGCTATGAGACGACCAAGAAGCAGGCTGGCTGGTCGTGGAACAAGGCACTGTTCACCACCTACCTACCCGAGGCCGTTTTCCAGAGCTTGATTACTTTGCCGTTTACCGCACCGTTTAGACACTTGGCTGGGTCCGATACTGCTTGCCCGTGGGCGTTGAGCGGGGGCTACGCGGCGGTCGGGCAGGCGGTCGCCGTCGGACTCTTCAGTATGGGATTCGCGTTGGAGGTTTTGGCGGATTGGCAGCTGGAGAAGTTCAAGGAGAAGGAGAAAGAAGGCAAGGAGAGTCATAATGCTATGTGCCGCGAGGGCGTTTGGAGTATTGTTAGGCATCCGAAGTGAGTGACCCACCCATTCTCTTTTTTGTCTTTAACCCCTTAGCCCCATTCTTCTTCTTTCCACGCAGGATGTTAACATCGCAACAGCTACCTCGGCGACATGCTAGTCCACCTCTCCTTCCCGCTCCTCCTTTTCGCCAGCAACGCCCTGCAGCCCATCCACCTCCTCGGCCCCTTGACCAACTACATCTTCCTCCGCTACGTGTCAGGCGACAAGGAGAACGAGCACAGCCAGGCCCGTCGCTACAGCACCGAGAACGTCAACAAGAAGATCGACTTTGACAAGTACCGGCGCGAGGAGAACGCCTTTTGGCCCGACAAGAGCCAGGTGTCCAACAAGTGGACCTGGATCGTCGTCGGAGCTGGCGTGGCTGGTGCCCTCCTGGAGGGCCTCGTCACAAAGGTCATCGCGTGACTCGCCATAGGCTGGACATCTGTGCAAATGGGTTGGAAAGCCGCGGAAATGGGTTTGAGGATCGGCTCGGAGATCGGGTTCAACGAGGCCATGGTGCTGGCGAGGGAAGGGGATGATGTGGCAAAATTGCTGGCTGGGAGTGGTCACGAGTTGGCGGATTTCTTTGCGTGATTCGGTTCGCAATTATGTTTTTGTCGAATGGGTGTTGTAGGATATGTGTGTAGGATATGGGGCCTTTGGAGAGGGAGCTGGCAATGATTTGAATAATTTAGGTGTTTGGATGACCAAAGGAGCATTTCTCTGCCTCCCCCGCGGGTCCCTCCATTGGTTAGATTGCTGGCTGCAGGCTTTAGTTGGCGGGGAAAATCTTGTAATCATCTGGGTTTTACTTTCATTTTTCATTCATTTGTCCTGTTCTATACATTCTTCCTCGCTTTTTGCTTTTCGTCATGACATGTCCTCACATGCTATTAGACATTTTCCATGCCACATGCCCCCCCCCCCTCCCCCCCCCCCTCCCCCCCCCCCCCCTTTTTCCATACGGTTGAGCTGGAGCATCTTACAAGAAGTCTCTGTCACCGGCTTGGAGCTTATACATGGTCATCACGATCATTGGCGATAGTGGAAAAGGTAAGTGTCATACATGCTTTGTTCATTGTCCTTGTATTCGGACATTCTTGTAATACGTGCTAACTGTTCCAATGTTGCGACTCTAACATCGCAACCCTAATATTTTGACTAAAATATCCCAACGCTTGCCCAGCATTTTCCCAGAATTTCCACACTCCATGCTTCATCCATGTGTATATACGACACAGTATCTTAAGGGCTTGTTTCCCGCAGAGCGCGTCTGTACGAATATAGTGGCTCAACGCTTGTGTTACGATCCAATCAGAGA